TGTCTCACTGATTTTGGATTTTTTTCATTAAACCAGTCTATTTTTTATCAAAGTGGTATATTCACTAAAAATATGATTATAATTATCCTTGGTATTCTTATTATTGCTAATTGAGGCTTTGATGGAAAGTGATGGGTTTTTTTCCGGCAGGTTAATTGATTGTTAAGTGGTAATGGTCTTTTTTCCAGCTTGTCTAGTTTTGGTGCTGTGTGTGCACCTTACATGTATCAGTCACCAACAGTAGAATACCAGACATGTAGGCTCACGATTGCTATTGTGAGCCATTTTAGGCCATTCAGGGTGCTACCAATATTCTTGTCCTAAGACATTTATTAATAGATCCTTCGCCTATGCCAGATCAGATCCACCCAGTAGAATCTCTGTATCATCTTTTAATCACATTTGAATATGCTTTTATTTCAGTTCTAAACATTCTTATTTCCAAATAAGTTTATTAATCTAATGTAGATGCTTTTACCTGCATCAGCAATCATATCTGTACACAGGGAAAATTGCCCCTTGCCATTTTTCCTATATATGTTATTAGTTATTTTTACTAAGATGGTATCAACTTTTCTATGATCTACTTTGTTACTATCATGTGTGGAATGATATATTTAGCCTGGTAATTTAGCACTAATATGTGATACATGTCTCCATTTTTATTAGTGTCATCTCCTGTTTTTCTCGCTCTATTTGCTTCAGGGGTTCTACCATGACAAATGTTAAGGTTTTATGCTGGAGAGATCAAGTGAGATCTGGAAAAAGAGAAACTTCTCATAGCTTGGTGTTGAATATCAAACTGCCATCTTTTTCAGAAAAAGGTAATTATCAACTGCATTGCTAAATGAACATTGAGAGCCAGAGGCATCCAGGAGCTTCCACTGTTGGCAGCCATCTCCCAGATGCAGACTGCTCCCATTGGCTGGCAAATCCTGGAAACCGAGCCATGAGCCCCCATGCAGAAGGGGAGACAGGCACCCATCACACTGAATTAACAGTGGAAAGAGGGAAGGAAGGGAGGGGGAATGCTTGAAGGCGTGCTTCTGTGCGAAGCAACACTTACTCTAAACACCATCACTGTGAAGGCTACCAACACGTCTCAGTCCAAGAGCACATGGAATCCTGGTGCATGTACATATCAAAAACACCGCTGACTACGACGGAAATGCAGGCGCTCTTTGTTGTTAACTCTGTTAAATTGCATTCAACTTCATTTAGAGAAACATATGAACAGCACAGAATTGGTCACTATCCACAAACAATTGAGACAGAACTTGTTATACCTGTGCTTCCTTGGCCAAGCATGATACTTTTTCACTACTTCCATCACCTTGAATATTAAAATTTTTCATTTGAATAGAACTGAAATATATGATCTCTGATAATTTGCTGAATACATGTCAAATACTCTTTTAGCAGAAAGTCCTAAATGTGTTGGTTGGGAGAAAAATAAAAGTCAAAAGCTTGCACCAAGGATGGTGGATCTAAGTGCTACTATGGATCCTAAAAGGTAATATTAAGATTTCTTTACATCTCGCCATCAGACATCAAACTGTCTGTGGGTGGGTATTTGTCAGGTTTCCCTTGGCTTGTTTCAGGACCAAGTTTAAAGCAGGACGTTATCTGCCGTTTATGGTGATCAAATATTTATCAGTGAATGTATTTATCGCAGCTGTGCAGAGAGCTGTGTGAAAGGCAGTAATGGAGTGTTTGTTTTAAAGTTCAATTGCAACTAACTGG